ACTCAGGCTGCCAAACTTCCCTTGGCAGTGAGAGTCTGTGAGGCGTTTCACAAGCTACGTCTAAGCTACACGCTCTGGTGCTGCTGTGTCACCCCACTCTTAAGCCTCTCTTGCACTCTGCCTGCAGACAGCTGAGGCTGGTGTCCCTCTTCTCCTCCCTAGAGTATAAGAGATCCCACCAAACCTTACAAGAGCAAGTTCCCCTCCCAACAGCGACTGAGGAATCTGCTAAGAACATCCAGGTAAAGGTCACAACTATTTCTAATGTTATATGTAAAGACTTCAACTTCAGATTCTTGATAGATAAATATTAATTGGGGAAAAAGAAAAGGGGTTTGCTCTTGCAAGACTCAAGTGTTAGCTGACAGTTCTTTTGACTAAGGAAAAGTGTTTTCTGTTGTGCATCCAAGGCTTCAGCCTGTTTATAGTAGTCCAGGGAGTTACTTGAGGAGGTGCCTGGACAGCAAGAGGAAAGATACTCCTTCTCTGTTACCACAGGGCTCAAATGCCATATGCATTTCAAGTGTTTGGGGCTTAAAGAATCATAGAAGGGTTTGGGTTGGAAAGGATCTTGAGATCATCCAGTTCCTACCCCCCCGGGCCATGGGCAGGGATGCCTCACACTAGACCATGTCACCCAAAACTCTGTCCAGCAACCAGGTCATGGGGAAATCTTTTCAAAGACAAGTATTTCTGCAGTTTTCCTCCATGATACTGATTTTTGGGAGCCCCTAATGCAGAGCTGAGCCAGGATCCTGAGCTAGATTAATTGGTCTGATCCAGCATTTTCCCATATGTGGGGACAGACTGTGACTGCTAGTGGTGTGTAGCATTGAGGACAAATTAAAAGCAGGAAATTCATGCTGAGATACTTGCACACTCTCTAATGTTTGTGGCTTCTTTCACATCCCCAGAGTGAGGTTTCCTACACCACTCTGGTCTTCCAGCAGAGTCAGGCACCAGCAGCTGTGTGATGATGGAGCTTCTAGTGAAACGAAGACACCTGCACTTTCTGGACATCACATGCTGCCAGAACATGATATCAAGGCCTATAGTGCTCTGGGACATATCCATGCTGCTGTATGTCTGACATCAGCTCATTTTATAGTTACCAGGGGAAACTAATGTCTCCTATTCCAAACTTCTTTGTGGTTGTGAACAAATTGCTTTTTATACCGTATTTCCCAATCTGTAGAAATCTCACTGCACTCGTAAATTTCCCCTTTATGTCTTTGCTGTTGCTTTGAATGACCAAAATCATTTGAAAATGGAAGTGCACCTCTGTGTCTGTTCATGCCTGTGCCCTTGTGTTTCCCTTTTCTGTCACCAACTACATTTTCCTTGGCTTCTAGTTGCCAAGTGCTTCGAGTTATTTTCTGCTTACTGAAGTTATGATAACAAAATGTTTGTATGCAAATATCTGCTTCCCAGTTGGGTCACATAAAAGAAATGCACAATCACAGTGTGACAGTCCATTTCTGGAAATGTTAATTCATATGTTATTACCCAGAGTGTTCTAAATATACTGTAGAAAGTTAAAATTCCCCTTTCATAAGCTGGGGAATAAGTTGACACTAGTGACTCAGGCTTAGCAGGCACAGAGAAGCTTCTCTGCATGTTCCTGTGCCTGCAGGTGGGAGGTTTGTTGTCTAAATGCAATGATCTCCATCAGCTGTTCAATGCTTCTCCTGAAAGGCTGAATCAGAGCTAAGCTTCCTGCTGCCTCAGCTCTCAGGGCTTCAGAAGCTGCCTCGTTTCTGGTCACCAGAGTGTTAGATTCTTGCAGGTATTCCTCTTTTCTGAAAGTGCTGTTGTGAACCCCTCTCAAGAGGAAT